AAAGAGCTATTTAGAAAATACTGATATGATCTAGAACCAGCACCACTAAATGTACTTGGTCAAATTAAAAAATTAAGTCTTTATAACAAAGCCAAAATGTTGTTTTCATTGTGGCAAGCTAAATAGGAAATTGAGGAAGTCTGCTCATAAATAGAGTATACAACTGGCTTTCAGGAAGCCCACCCATCAGGCACCAGAAGGAAGTGCCCAGACAGAAGACATTACGTAAGGCATCAGAAGCATCAATCTGCATCCAGCTAGTCAGGAAGGACATTCACAAACTTTTCATTCTGTGAATAATTCGTACATTAATTATTAATATTAGAGTCTTGGGTCTTCACTGAAAGATGAAGCTGCTTTTGCGTCAATCTTTATTCAAATACAATTCTCTACTATCTCCGACAGTCTAGTATTGGAAAGAATAAGCAGATTTGGGGAAGAAAGTATCAAAATAACAATTCATAATTTAAATTTCTATTATTGTTACAGAAATGAATCAAAGTAGGAACAAAATTTGTAGATAAGACATGACTTATGAAGATGTTTTTAGTTTATACTTTATAAAAATGAAATATAGACTAAATCTGAAGTATATTTTTATAATTAAAGAAGCAGGATTATTGCAAACAACAGAATAAAATCTAGGAGAATAAAACACACATTTGGAAATCCAGGAAGATCTAAGTGGCATCCAAACACCTGTTATTTCATATCTAACATTTTTCATTTAAAGTACAAAGTTGCATTTCAAAAGCTTATGCTTTTTATTAAACAAAAGAACTATTTAAATAAGTGAACTTTAATTTTATTTGTCATAACACTGAGGTAATTTATGTTAAAGAAGGCATTAGATAGTAACTCTTTATTGCATTTATTACCATGAAATATGGTCATAACAACGTAGAAATGTACTAATATAATAAAAAACATAAATCACAAACAATAAAATCTCTTTGCTCACATTTCAGGGTTCTCTTAATCACTCGTACATTTTTTACTCTTTAATTCTTAATTCGCGGGTTAAACTGGAACCAATGTCTTCAAAATAATAATGGTAGATTTATGAGATTACAGGATGAGCAAAGAGTCTATATTTGCTTATTTCTCTAATAACAAAACTAATACCAAAAGTATGATACTTTGTCCCTCTGTTAAAACACATTTGAAAAGAAAGAGAAGAAAAGGGCAAAGAGGATGTTTGTAAATCAAGTTAGGAAATAAAATTTTCCTTTTACAGGAAAGAAACTGACATTTTATTTGTCAGTTTGTTTTGTTAAAATTCCAAGAGACAAAACGTTGATTAAGAAATGCACCCTGCTCAACCAAACAAGAAGAAGATCATTCATTTCATGCTACTTAAAAAATAAAGATAAAAAGGAAAGAAAAGGGGAGCGATGCTGGTGGAAGGCTGCTTGTGATACTCCTTTAGGGAGGGATCCGCTAAGCAATGCATTTGAGAGTAAAGCAGTATCAAACGTTTTCCCCTAGAAAACGCAGCAAGAATGTACCTCCCAGGGATTCCACAAGTGCCACAGCCTCTACACAAAGTTAAACAAATTCATGACTTTCTGGGCACTTCAGTGACTTGCATCTGCCTGCGGTCCCAGAGTATCAGGCAGGGCTGGTGCAGCTGCCTGCTCGCTCGCTTCCTCTGTCCCGTCTGCAAGCTCAGGGGCTCTTCCCCACAGAGCACCCCAGGGGCACCGCAGACACGTGAAGGCAACACGCTCCTTCCAGAGAACCTGGGTCTTCACAGGACGGTGCAAAATCTGAGCAACTTACCCGACTCTGCAACAAAGATGATAAAGTTTGCAAGGAGTCAAAATCGTGGAGTACTTCAGAGAAATGCAGCACGCAGCTGCTGCTGCAGCCTGTAAATTGGACAGCGCTGATAACTACAATCAACTGTTACTGACGGAGCTCGCGAGAGTTGGCAGCCGCGGCTGGGTCTAGAGGCGGCGATCTTGACTTTCTGACATCTGTTGGGAGGCGGCGGCCGGTCTGAACGCAGCAGTGATTCATTTACGGAAGTGTCTCCGGGTCGGATTAATGTTTTACAACGGCAGCGCACCTCTAAGAGCGACGGAAAGAAAGGTTACCTTGTTTAAAAGAAGTTGAAATCTAACAAACAATTCCCTTTTGAGGGGAAAACTAGCAGAACTTTTAGGATTTTCTTCTTTTTTATAGAATACACATTTTCCCCCCTATGGTTGTCTTAAGATTTAAAGATGCACACTTTTTTTCCTAAAAGCAAATGCTATTTTTGAATTAACCCCATTGTATTGTGCCAATGGTGAAGTTAGGAAAGATGATAAAAGAGAAAATAGGAATCAGAATAGTTGCACCCTAGACGTCAGCTGTGCAAATCCGTGCAGTTCTATTAACTGATGGGTGTTTCTGCCACGCAGTCCCTTCCAATTCCCAGTCCCCAGCTTCTATTTCAGTCACAGGAATGTCAGCCAGCATTGGTAATTCCCTATCCTGGGGCCCTGCCGGATGCAATGCGCAGGAAGAAGCCACGATTTTCTGGTCATGACAAGAAAAATACAACGAAACCTATGAAGTACCCAAACTCCACAGACAGGCCCCTCCGTCAGCTGCCAGCACACATGTGTGGCAGCGTGCATTTCTCTCCCAGGCTTATTTTCCTTAAAAATAGACATTTGAGAAAATTAAAAACAAACAAGCCAACAACAACAAAAATCCCTTCCATTAACTCTTCAGTGATTCACGTTTCTATGCAGGACAGTCTTAATCTTTTGCAAATGTTATCATTCACTTTTCAATCTCTCACTTTGGGGCTCACTGTGAACTAATATGAAGGCAAATATTTATAGTAAACCCATTTTGGGTTTTTATTTTTTCTATTTATTTTTATTTTATTTGCTTATTTATAATAAATTTTATTTAATAACTTTATTATTAATTTTAATTACTATTATTAAATTTATTTATTATTTATTGACATATTTTAATTAATTTATTTATTTACAGAGTCTCACTATGTCGCCCTGAGTAGAGTGCAGTGGCATCACAGCTCACAGCCACCTCAGACTCTTGGGCTCAAGTGTTTCTCTTGTCTCAGCCTCTCGAGTACCTGGGACTACAGGCACCTGACGCAACGCCCGGCTATTATTTTGTTGCAGTTGTCTTTATTGTTTGGCAGGCCCAGGCCGGGGTCAAACACTCCAGCCCCGGTGCGTGTGGCCGGTGCCCTAGCTATTGAGGTACAGGAAAAGAGCCGTCCATTTTTGGTTTGTAAAAGACATTGAAATTTCAAACAAAGAAATACAAGAACTGGATTTTGTTATAATTCCACATTGTGGCAATCATTATAAATAACGATTTCCAGGGGATCTCAACCTGTGAATCACAACAGCTTTGGACCATTGGAAAACACATTCTGCATATCAGATATTTACATTACAATTCACAACAGTGAATTGTAACAAAAGTAACAAAGTAACAAAAATAAGTTTATGGTTGGGGGTCACCACAATATGAGGAACTGTATTAAAGGTTCACGACATTAGGAAGGTTGAGAACCATTGATTTACATGAACGAGTTTATATTAATCAAACAAATACATGAATTAAATATTAACCCTACTTTCAGATGTGAAAACTAAAGCTTATAAAGATCAGAAATTTGGTATATTTCCTACCACCAGTAGCTTTTGGAAAAAGGATTTTAGCCTTGATTACTCTGATCTCATTTCATGTCAACTGTTTCCAAGATAATAGTCATTTCTTTGTTTTAAAATTATCTTTTCTGGGAAAATTGCTCCTTAGGAGTATTGCCTTGATAATAAGCCTTCACAATAATCTGTACTTGGGTTATACTTTCTGTAATAACCTATTACAGGAAAGTTGCAGAAAACATATCTAAAAGGGGGAGGAACTTTGTAAAGGAAGGACTGACAGCTTTGCAGTGGTTTTAAAATGCTGCATTTCTGTTTGAAATCGTCATTCTGATGGCCCAAGTGAGAGTCCACAGCTTGAAGTCACATGATTTTTGAAATCTAAATGTCAAAATTCTTCTCTTCAATATTAAGTCGCTTGTATTGATTTCTATGCTAACATGTGGCTGGTTTTATTGTCAAATCCTGCAATTGTTGAGGGATGCTTTTTTGATATTAGTGAATTCAATAACATGTTTTACATGCTTCTAATATTCACTCACAGCAATATAAAATATTTCACAAATACGTATACATGTATCTAATTTTCATCATTAAACAGAAAGATAATAAGATACTCAGTTAAAGTAGATTTTTATTTTTTTATTACATGTTGTTTAAACTGCCTGATTACAAGAACTGGGAATTTGTCCCTGCTTATTGCTTTTACTTCAGGGAGCCACCTTTAGTTTTCTTACTCACAGGCTTTCTCAGCTCAGCCACATTATCAGACAGTCTCCTTCAGGGCGTCCTGATAATGCGTCTCCTTTCTGTCTGGCTGGGGGTTCCTTCCTTCCTGGCTCAGATCACAGCAGCTGTTATGCTTCTATGGTGTCAGCATTTTCTCTTTCACATGCAGCAGGACGGTGTGGGTCACACACAGGGAGCTGGTTTCAGGGTTACTAGGCAAGAGCCATTCCATTACCTCACAGCCTGGACGTTCAAGGATCCTGCTGCTAACTGTGGAGTATGCCTTATAAATGAGGCTGATCAAATACCACGAGACACTTGATATGACGTTCACACTGTCAGTATTTGCAAGCTTAAGCTTGGGGAGGACAACAGTCCTAGTTTGGGATCTGCCATTGCTTTCAGCTGGTCACGGTGGCTTTTGCTTTAAAGTTTCATTATAGCTCATTTACCACTGGCCTGGCTCTTTTCCAGGGGACAGCAGTCAAGGATACTTGAGATGGTGTGGGAACCATTAGTCTTATGCATGTGTCATCTTTGGGTGTACTATTGCCACAAAAAGGGCTCTAAACTTTTCTTCAATTAATTCTTCCTTTCTTATTTTTATAAGAGCAATGTGTTCTTTGAAAAACATATGGATTCCAAAAGAAATTATATTTATACATTTTACATATCATAGAGGCCAAAGATCACTTGGGATATTACATTCAGTTTTCTATGTGCATAATAATCTATTAATTCTTGACAAAAGAAGAATAATATGCTAAAAACAGAAATTTCACAAACATAGGTAAAAATATCAATTTCGTAAGAATTGACAATTGGTGTTAAAATTACTAGGTTAATTCTAGTTTGACCATGGGATCCCAGACATTTCATACTCTTGAAAAACCAGACAGACTACAAATGATCAAACTTTCACAGCGTAAGCAAGCAGTAGATTTTATTCATGAATGATGGAATTAATAGACTACTCGTTACATAACATCATCTAGTCTATATATAAATTTTTAATTTGAACATTTTGTCAAGTTTTAACATATGACTTCCATTTTATATGAAAACGAAAATAAATTTTAAAAAATCAAATTGTATCACAGTGACAAAACAAGACAGTTGTTGAAAGTGAGATATTCTGTCCTGGTCATTTCAACAAAATAATGTCACATTTAAATGATCAATCTTCAAAAATTCCATCCTACACTCCATGCTGACATGGTCTAGCAGGAAAAGTTTACCCAATATCATGGGAAAGATTAATTTTTGTCTTGAATATTTTTTTTACAACCATATACAGGCAAAGCTTCCAAATTTACATTACTGAAGTGATAGAAACTTCATGTCAAAACAAGTTAAGGATAGTAAAAGGAAAATGAAAATAAGCTGAAGTTTGACAAAGCTTGAGAAGAGATTTCTAGATAGGGTGGAGTAAATGAACTAAGAGGCAGATTAAAAAAACTTAAGGAAAATGATGCAATTGAGGAGACATCCTAAAAAGTAGAAGTGTGAGGAGGAGGATGCACAGTCAAGACTTTCTTCCTGTGAAATATTTGTGGGAAGAGATTTATCCGTCCTGAGCATCTTCAAATTTGTTAGCGGAGATGGACACTATTTTCAACAGTCTTGGAGACATGTCTGTGTGTCCATGTGTGTCTGTCTATACCTGTGTCCATGTGTCTGTACGTGTTAAAAAGACGCTGGAAAAATGTGCAGGGCTGGGCTCTGAAAGAAGAAAATAAAGCAGACTTTGATTTAGTATGAAGTAAAATATCCCGCATATTAAAAATACTACATAAATAAAATGGTCATGCTACTATATTAGCGAGGTGAGAAATTGTAACCTTTTACATTCTTTCTCCATTTCTATTTGAAAAATGTCCTAATTTGCATAAATTTCATTTAAATAAAAATAATCTTCTGATGAAATAAATTTGATCCGTGCAACATCACAATTTGGAGTTCCTGAGTGATTCCTGAGAGAATTAAAGAAGGAGCCCGTGGCTCCTCTGCAGCAGGATCTTACCTTCAAAACCAGGATAATCTGGCCCTGTCCCCTAAGAATTTATTTTCCTTTGGACAATTCTTCTGTCCTCTATATTTTCCTTTTCTTTATCATTTTTGCAATATTTCCAGATACATGTCTTTCTGTGGTTTCTTTGACACTTTATTATATTATCTCAGAATGTCTTGGCAAATACTAAAATTTAATTCTTATTTCTTGGAGTAGGGAAAAATAACGTCAAAATGCACAGTGCAGAGATTGTGTCTTGCTGAGATTTACCTCTGCTGGAACTGGACTGCCGACGTGAAGCCAAAGAGTTTGACATTTAGCTAAGCACGGGATTGCTGGTATATTACTGCAGTTACTAAATATAATCAGGCAAATAATAATTAATCTTTCTATGTCTCAGTACACTCTGTATCTTAACATTGTTTTTTCAGTCTGTTCCTATTTTGTGGCTACATTCACAGCATGATTTTATCACGGGAAGGAGATTTACTCAGAGTGGATTCATG